GATCTGAGCACGAGATTTAAACAGTGAATTAATTAATAATAATACCCCACGGGACAGACGATATGGAGGAACTGGTTATGAGCAAAGATACGAACGTTTACAGCGAGTTTCAAAATCCTACGAACACACCGCTCCACTTTGCTGTCATGAATTGCGAGATAGAAACTGTAAAAAGGATCATTAAAAGAGGAGTTGACGTGGATGCTCAAAACGAAAATGGTCAAACGGCACTGCACCTAGCCATTCGGGAGGGACACAAAGATATCGTACAAATCCTCGTAAATCAGGGTGCCGATGTCAATTTGAAAACTCGGTGGGACGAGACACCACTTCAGTCTGCGGCGCGAAAAGGACTAGAAGAGACTTGCAGGTTGCTACTCGAAAGAGGAGCTGACGTGGATGCCCAAAACAAATATGGTGAAACGGCACTGCGCCTAGTTATTCAGTACAAACACAAAGACATCGTACAAATCCTTGTAGAACATGGTGCCGATATCAGATTGAAAATTCGGAGGGGCGAGACACCTCTTCATTTCGCTGCGCGAGTAGGACTAGAAGAGACTTGCAGGTTGCTACTCGAAAGAGGAGTTGACGTGGATGCCCAAAACGAATATGGTCAAGCGGCACTGCACCTAGCCATTCGGGAGGGACACACAGATGTCGTACAAATCCTCGTAGATCAGGGTGCAGATGTCAATTTGAAAACTAAGGAAGGCCGGACACCGCTCCATTTTGCAGTGCTAGGAGGACTAGAAGAAATTTGCAAGTTGTTAATCGAGAGAGGAGCTGACGTGAATGCCAGAAACGTAGATGGAAACACGCCACTGCACGTAGCCATTCTGAGCACACTCCAAGATATCTTTCGATTCTACGTAAATCAGGGTGCCGATGTCAATTTGAAAACTTGGCGGGACGAGACACCGCTTCAGTCTGCAATGCGACGAGAACGGGAAGAAATTTGCAAGTTGCTAATCGAGAGAGGATCTGACGTGAATGCCAAAAACAATGGTGGAAAAACGGCACTGCATCTAGCCATTGAGGAAAGACACGTAGATGTCGTACAAATCCTCGTAGATCAGGGTGCCGATGTCAATTTGAAAACTCGGCTGGACGAGACACCGCTCCATTTTGCAGTGCGACGACGACGGAAAGAAATTTGCAAGTTTCTAATCGAGAGAGGAGCTGACCTGAATGCCAGAAATGTATATGGAGAAACGGCACTGCACCTAGCCATTCGGGGGGGACACAAAGTTATCTTTCAAATCGTCGTAAATCAGGGTGCCGATGTCAATTTGAAAACTCGGCGGGACGAGACACCGCTTCAGTCTGCAATGCGACGAGGACTAGAAGAAGTTTGCAAGTTGCTAATCGAGAGAGGAGCTGACGTGAATGCCAAAAACAATAGTGGAGAAACTGCACTGCACCTAGCCATTGAGGAGGAACTCATAGATATCGTGCAAATCCTCGTAGAACATGGTGCCGATGTCAAATTGAAAATTTGGTGGGGCGAGACACCTCTTCATTTCGCTGCGCGAGTAGGACTAGAAGAGACTTGCAGGTTGCTACTCGAAAGAGGAGCTGACGTGGATGCCCAAAACGAAAATGGTCAAACGGCACTGCACCTAGCCATTCGGGAGGGACACAAAGATATCGTACAAATCCTCGTAGA